ATATGTACAATATTGTGTTCAATACGGTTTCGACAGGATACCTTACTCTACCCTTACGCTTTTGGTATCCACTTCGACTAAGTTTACTGACGCTTTTCTAATTTATGAAAGCTATTGTCCTGCATCGCTGAAGTTCTCCACAGAGAAGCACTAACGTGGCTGTCACTAATATATCTAATTGTATGAAGACAATACTCCAAAATAGGATGGAGCAGGGAGGCATAGAGTGAAGCGCTGACCACCGATAGTCTAGTTGGCTCTAAAAACGGCTTTCATCTAAATAAAAAACATTGAGAAAAAGAAAGATAGCAGATAATCATTCAATTCGACCTTTTTCATTTCAAGGGTTAAGCGGTCTCCTTGTCTTACAGACGAAACATCCACCCATATCGAATTCGGGCCACGGGAACCGCCTTTTGACAGGGCCAAACTTCCGAAACGACCCTGTGCTCAGAATTAGATGGTCATTCAAACAGATTCTAACAGCTCACATAAACTTGCAAGCCAATCAATACTCTACCACCGTCACTGTATTTCGTGCTCTTGTATGAGTAAATGTGTGCACATGGTTTTACATTTGTATATTTTTGCGGCTGTTTTCGGATCCTGCAAAAGTCTTGCCCATCTGTTTGTACTACTTTGTTACTTTCTTAGCTTTTTGTGATATGTAAAATGTTCTTCCCCCTTATGTAATGCCCCTAAAGGAAACTTAGGGGCCAAATATATGATGACGAATAAAAGACCCTGCTCGTGCAACAAAACTACGTCGCAGTCATGGCACATGAAGACACTGAACCTTTTTGACGAATGCACGTCGATAAGAAGCAGTGCTATGGCAAACAACTAGAAGCTTTTGCAGTACGCGCATTATTCACGACAGCTCTTCACCAGGTGATCATAAATCCTGGCAAAATTTTTGCTATGTGTACCAGAGCATAAGATGGCAGATTTGCGGTTGTCCAGGGATTGGGCAAATGAACCAGCGTAAAAGAAGCATCACTTGAAAAGGTTCATAGTCTGTATAGTTTTTTATATGCGATACGAGCCAGTCATTATATCAAACGTTTGATCATACTAGCGGCATACATTTAACTGGACTTTTCTTTTTGTAAAGGGCCCGAAAGAGGGTAGAGTAATCGACTGCTTGCACCGACGTCTACGCAATCAAGATCATTTACAGTTTAGTGGACATGTATAATTAGTCGCCTTACCAGGAGAGCAAGCATCGGTGCGAGGGCGAAATGAGTCAAGATAATGCGTGTATATATTTAAGTTTTTACATTCTCCTGTTTTATGCGTTTCACCCTCCACTTTTTCTCATAGTAACGAGTCAGAAAAACAATCTCCATCAACACTTCCAACTACTCCGAGAGAGAGACAATAATGCTGTAGGCCCATGTGCTCAGATTTGGGTGCACGTTAAGGAACCCCAGGTGGTCAAAATTTCTGGAGCCCTTCACTAAGGCGTCTCTCATAATCATATCGTGGTTTTGGGACGTTAAATGTCATATTTCAAGCAATTAATTGAGAGAAAGAATAATTGTAGAGAAGGAAAGGTAAGGATGGCAACCAGTTCAGGATAACCGGTTTGCTACCCTCCGCGTGGGAACGGGATAGCGGAGATTGAAAGAAAGAGAGGAAAGAGAAAGAAAGATAGCACACCACACTGTCCATACATACGCACGTCGTCAGTAAGAGTACATCAATCTGGCCTGAAACGCGACATCACCGTCACATCCGCTTGTCCGGGTCCGTTTGTCGCATGAGCATGAACAGTTTTTAAAGATGATAGTATTTCTTGGGGACCTTCGGCGCCAAAATTTTGGTCTGCCTGTGTGTCTTTCTCTCTGTCTCCACATTTGTCTGTTTGTCCGCAGTTATGATCCCCCTAAAGGCACTAAACGATACCTTAAACGACCAACCCCATCCGCAGCGCCCACCAATATGGCTCAAATTTCAGCAGTCATACTTGTGCGAATCGTCAACAAAAAGCAATTATTGCGCATATCTGAGGCATCATACCAACACGTAGAGGTCTTATATGTGGGCCTTCTAACTACAGAAGGCACATACAAGTAATTCTAAGGACCGTAGCGTTGAACACGCTGCGCTGACAGTGCAACGCGATGCTCAAAAAGGCAAGTGTTTCCACCGCTTTACTAAGACGACATGGTGGTGGCACCTGCCCGTCACTTTGCGTTCTACTCCTTATCGCCTCCGAGACAGGCGCGCATCGTTCTCCGTGGGTGCTCACGCCTTCCTTCGTTTTCGAAGATAACTGCCATATGGCGCTCGCGTCTAAAGTGCCTCGATGCGCTCGTTCGCCTTCGCTGCACGGATCTAGACTCTCTAAGCAGTGCTTCCAGAATACAATTCACCGATTTTCTCGCACAGAAGATCATATAAAGGTTTCGTTCACTCTCTCCATACGCAAGACTATCCTCCTCCAACGACATTTGCAGTGAAACATGCATACGGGACCTCTTTTTTTCAAATCAATCCCTGTTTTATTGACAATTAAAACACAAACCATTATTACAAAGCTGCTAGACCCGTTAGCCTACATCGGCTAGTGGTCGGTTCATATCAGAGTACATAACAGATTAATAGAGCATATATAGTTACACGCACACACAAAGATACAAACACATATATAATTATATATGAATACATGCATACACATGCATATTCACATACGCATATAGAAGGAACAAATGATTAAGCAGACAATAGAGAATAAGTCAAGTACATAATCCCATTCTTACAACTTATATAACGGTAAAATGTCCAATACACCACCAAACGTGATAAAAACTCAGAAAAATACACTTCACAGGCATTGACTTTGCAAACAATATATTTTTGCGCTGAGTTTAAAGTTGCGTGCTACTTCAACTTCTAAGAATATTTTGTTCCAAATTTTCGTTCCATGAAATTCCAATAAACGTTATTCATATAAGTTGTATATAATAGGTAAATTGAAATTGTCATTGCATGCGCGTCTAGTGTTTCGCGATGGTATGGTGAATAAACTGGAGGAGTGGGGAGAGCTGGTGCCTACGATTTGGTAAACATAAAGAGCAACCTTATAATCACGAAGTACCGAGACTCTATATAGAATACGTTAATCCTGAAATATATCATTTGAATTCCTGCGGTTTCCACCTATTTGTATTCCTGTGGTTTCCTTCGTCGCCTTCGGCTGCGATGTCTTCCGTCGATTACATGCTAGAACTGATTCAACATAGCATTTGTCTATTGTCAAGGTGCGATATAAAGGACGCTAGTGATTCTCTCTGAACAACATAGACTGAACAGCCACACAGGATGTCGTGTAGCGTCTCCTCGCAACTACAGGTTAACTCCTCCGAGCTATTATGGCACCTATACACGTTAACAGTATAGTATAGTGTAGAGTGCGTCTTGCCACGTGCTTCATCTCGTTTCGTCAGCTAATGCAGGTAATTTACATGTTTATCGAGAGTCATTGACAATACAACAGCCATATTTCTAAAACCTTATATACAAATTTACCTACAGTGACGCGCTAGCGAGTCCTCGTGAACGTGTAATGAGTTCTTTACTGCCGCACATAATACCTCATTTAATCGTCACCGGCTATTCAGTTTACACTCCAATGATATTGTCATAATAGTTAAGTGATGCGCCACTCACGCGCCGTATAGCTTTGACTTCGACTTACTTAGTGCACGCTACTGACGTAAGTGTCGACGCGTTGTGTGCAGCCAAGTTGGAGCAACGAGGATTCCTGCTGGCGAGGCCAGCGGTCAATATCCAGACGAGCCGGCCAGTTATTGTGGGTGGCAAGACGTCTACCAACGGAGCGGCCCACTTGCTGCGACCTCAGGTGCTGCCCTGGGAGTCGCAGCATTCCATGTCTTCTGGCAGCTTGAGCTCCACTGGCACGGGCAGTGCGAGGCCCCTGCACATGGTCGAGCTAAAGAACAACCACAGGTCACCCAGCGGATCCGCACCACCGTTCCGTAGCCAGGTCAGTGTGCATCTACGACGATTTGTGCGAGTGCTACGACACGCTGCCTGTTTTGAGAGGTTGCGCTAGGCACAACACTGGTTCGTGGTTGATGATTCCGAACATCGGCCACCTTAAGCACAATCTACTAAGAAAAAAGCTTGGGCTTCACGTGAAGCATTGTGAATTTCTGACACATTTCTCCGAAATACATAAAACAAGATTAGGTTTTTGGTGGCTCCGCTTATTTAGTCCAGGCCCGGAAATAGCGGGGAAAATGAACATGTCAATAGAATATGCATCGAATAAAACTCCACTTTTCAATAACGAAATCAAATCAATGTCCTTTCAAATAAACTCCTTTCAGTAATTTTGTGTGCTTGTGAAATATCTGTTTAAAGCGCGTTTGGAGTGAGATTCGTTGCATCCACGTGTTATATAATTGAGGCTAAGTGAATTTGAAAAGATAATTTATAGCAAACTATAAGAAGAAGAAAAAATTCAGGGCAAAGTTTGACTTGTCACAGATGCGTCACAGTTCTTACCCATCTGAATCGAGTAAAATTAAGTAAGTAAAGCCTACATTCACACCATATCATCGAAATTATCTTTCTATATTTCTTTGAAATTTACTTCAGTCTATCAACTTGATCTGTGCTTGACAGAGAAACACGCACAGCTTAGTAACGAGTGAGCTCGGTGCCTTGCTGTTTTTCCCTTGCGGCAACCCTTCCTAGCTCTGCTTCTTTCATCAGTGATGATGACGCTATCAAGCGTACAGTCGTTAGAAACTAACTCGGACTGCTCCATAGCGTTGCCTTGATGGTCTTGACTGATGCGATCCAGCGAAGCACTGGACACTGTTGCCGAGGTAATACCTCTGTATGCTTGGACAGTATGCTGGCATGCATGGGTAGCATCTCGGCTACAGAACTCAAAACTACGTAGGCGCTTAAGTAAATCAAACCGTTTAAGGAAACACTACGTAGCAATCGAGTTAAGCTTGGTAATGGCCATACTAACGTTCTCTCCAGCGCAGGGGTCTGCCACTGCCAATCGTCGCCAGGATAAGGTGCGCGGCATTTTCACAGAATTGTTTGGCTCCACCCGCACCAACATCGCCAAGCACTTGCGCCAGGTTTGTACCTCATATCAACCCTGTAGTACGAAAAATTAGGGGACCCTAAAGATTCGCCTATAGTAGTTGAACGCGATTGCGACATCCAGTGCGCACTTCAAGCACTTAACGCTAATCGCTCTCCATGAGTATCTGCCAAGTACTGTCAGATTGTCAATGTACACCGACGACAGTAGTGCGTTTAGACATCTGCAGTAACACTGTCTACAGCCGCGAGCGCGAATTCAGAGAGCTACCACACAAGCTCCTATTTACCTCCGTAAACGACGTCTGAAATTTTCCTCTGAGAAATGTGCGCTTGGTCGCATTTACGCACAAGCCAATGCAGAACTGCATCGTTCTGATAAACAGCGAAAGGATACTTTACCTACGATTGTACAAGTTTCTAGGTGTTATATTTTACAGACACCTCTCTAGGAGCTAACATATATCATACATGTAAAGGCAGTTAACAAACATCTGACATTTGTTCATTTCTTCGCTGGAAAGAACTGGGCAATGCCCACAGCCACCATGTTGCGACTATACAGGGTTCTTTTCCTTGGATTCATTCGGTACAGCCTGCCTGCGTTAACCAATGCAAGTAAAACAAGTATGCGAATGTTTCAAAGTGTCCAGGCGCTAGCACTCCGGATTGGTCTAGGCTTGCCTCCAAGTGCATCAATAGTAGCAACTATCGCTATCACAAGGGACCAGCTTATCAAGACCCAAATTACTGTTAAAGTGCTGAGGACACCTACACAACACCTTGCTCGATCTTCTCGCCGTTATAGCCTCTCTAACAGTGGACCAACCACGCACATCTTAGTGCAAAACAGTGATCGCACATGGTGAGTCGATCCCAACTTTATTCTCTCCTACCGCTAGACCTAGCTGTGACTCCACCATTATTACCACCAATATTACCATACCTGGCGTCCAGAAAAAAGCCGATTTGTCATCACCGCCTCTTAAGTAGCTCACACCACTTCTCTTGTGAGAAAAATACCAATACTCTCAACATATATACACTGACGGATCGGTTCGGCCTAACAGCTCAACCGAAGAAGTCGTAATACCAAGGTTGATCACGACGATTAAATTCAAGACATCCCATGCAACAATATCAACAGTAGCAGAATTGGCAGCCCTTCGTACCGCATTACAATTTGTCATCAACCTACATGCAAGTGGACTCGAAGGTGGCACTGCAGTCTCTTCTATGAGCCTTACGTCGTGGTCTGCACGAGCAGCTGGTACTAAAGATTACACAGGTTATACACCACCTAACTGAAGAAAGGGCACCAAATTGCATTTCAGTGGTTACCCAGTCACTGCGAAATCATTGGCAGTGAACAGGCCGATCATGCTGCCCGCCCGGCCAACGCAGAAGACCATGAACTGCTACTACCACTTTCTAGGACAGATGCTGCGCCAAAGCTCCGCTGGCTTGCTCGCCAGAAAACCACGTCACAATGAAATCAGCCGCACTTCAAGCATGCCCGACTGTACTCGGTTGACCTTACGTTAATTCTTCAACTCCCATCGAGGCTTTACCGAGCAGACCAGACCCTTTTGTGTAGGCTGAGATTGGGCGTTGCGTTCCCCAACCCCAACGCATTCCGCATCGGGAGGGCCGACACCGCAGCCTGTGACCACTGTGACAACGAAGAAATTATCCGACATATCCTTTCTGACTACATAGAGTATAGTAGACAACGACTACACGTTCGCAAGAAACTCTGCAAACTGATAATCAACCTCTCTCGGAGGAAAGAGTTTTACAATATCAACAAGATGCAACTGCACAGAAGAATACCCTGAAAGCGCTCCTGCATTTTTGTGATCGATCGACCTTTCTGAACGGTTGTAGCCAGAAAGCCCTTCCTGTGTGCGTTTTGTTTTCTCATGAGTGCACGTGCGTTTTTTTTTTTTCGTTTTTTCCTCTCTCTCTCTCTATACCCTCTCTTTCTTGCCCCTATTTCTCCACCTCCAGTGCTGGGCAGCAAACTGGGTGCCAATATCTGATTAACCTCCCGGCCTTCCTTTCTCTCTCTCTCTCTCTCTTTCTAGTGTAAAAAACCTTTTCGAATCTACTATGCACCCACTACGTGACCTTAAGAGAATAGGCGCAGTAGCGTGTGTGCCTTTTGTAGTGGGCTACCGGCTTTCAACCGTTGAGCCAATTTGATAATCACATATCCTGAAGCCCGTTGGCAATGGACGCTTATACATGCGTTATTACGGCAATATTACATGTTGCATTGCGAAGCATGTGTACAGGACGCGTGTTTTTGTGAAGCATGAAAGCGACTTTCACTGCATTTCCAAGCAGAGGAAGTTCTTTTGACTGTTTTCACCAGCACAGGAGGTGCCGTGCGGTAGAACATCCGCTTGCCACGCAATCGAGCCGAGTGCGATTCCCACATGGATCCAAACAACCCTTCTTTGGTCCCCACTCTGCTCCAGAATTGTTTATCTTTTATTTATTTTATTTGCATTAATCTCAATTTTTCGGTCACGCATAAGATGATGATTTTTCACTCACAACTAACGACGCTGACACTGACGCCGGAATTCCTGCGAAAGGAGCTCTTTAACGCTATCGCGTTAATAAAGACCGAGAAAACAGGTAACTGAATGTTAAAATTTCGCTTAGTTTGCCTGCATGAACCTAGGTCACAAATAGGTCGAGTGCATTTGTGAGGGACCCAAGCTACTAGGGAAGTATATGCGTGGCATCTAATTAGTATGTTGGTGTGTTAGCTGAAGTTTAATTAGCGACAACATATATGCACAGACCCACCACCAGTTTATGATCTCGTGAAATGTATTCATGTGTGTTCTACAAGAAGCTAAACTAGAAAATGGGACGCAGAATGACACAGAAAATTGAATTGGACAAAGCTGTACCAGTATTATCCAGCGTGAACCTCTGCACCTTTTGTGTCGATGCACCAAGCTCACTGGTTCGATTCATCGCTGAGAATCAACCAACTCATTTTGCATCAGCCCGACTGCATAACTTTTGCAGCTTAGTCAAAAGCGCCTAAGTATAGAGTGGTCTGAATCTGTGCTGGTTGGTAATTATGTGTGTCCAGTGGTCGAACTTAGATGTAAACGCACGAACAAAGGAAAACAAAAAACACGAACGCACTGTCATGTTCGTGTTTGTTTTACTTCGTCCGTGCGCCTAAATATGGCTGCAACCACTCGACAAGTCAAAGATGTAATGCAACTTTTTAAAATCAGTTTCCCAAAAGAATTTTTATTCTTATTGCAAATATAACAGCACATGGCAGCGCACACTAGGTTACACAAAGGACACGGACACAAAGGCATTGTGTCGTCCCTTTGTGTGCGTGTTCATTGTGTAACTGGGTGTACGCTGCCGTATGCTGTATGTCTTGCCAACCAGCCCGCCCATACAATTAAGCATGCAATTATAACCTCCGCGTGTAAACACCAGCTTTATTAACGAATACGTTTAGGATACTGCTCTAATGGCATTGTCTTTGCACCAGTCTTTATTTAAATGCAACTTCCTTATTGTTATTATTTCATTGGAATGAATATCGTCTTGGGACAGTGATAGGTTCGAACAGGTAGTCGTCAGACACCGCCTGAACGTCACCTTCTCGTAAAAGATTTAATTTCACTAAATGAAGTTGTCTGCTACTCTTTAAGTCGTGTACAATCTGTGCACATCAGGGTCAGTTATGTAACCGTCCAGTGCAGTATATTTCCGTACCTACTATTGTACTTTAAATGGGTCCTTACATTTCTACTGTTGAGTCAGGAGCTTCCAAAACAAATAAAACTTTCCTAATTGACAAGCAATCAATTATCAAAGCGATTGTTCAGACAGGAAATGGGATAAGCTGTTCCAGTTTGCTGGCGGATCATATTTTGCACAATACTAATATAACTAGCGACTCCACCTAGTACTGTAGGGAAGCTGACCCACTAAAAACTGGTTTTCTTGGCAACCTCTCTGTTTTTTAAATAAATATTTACCACCCCCACCATGATAGTATTCAAATTGCTATCCTCTAGTTTTACCATAATTGTACAATTTGACTAAGGTTTTTCCGCATGCCCAGCTGCAGCCATTTTCTGAAATAAAGCTTGACCTTTTTTTTTATTTGAAATAGCACGAATTCTGCTTTTTGGAGCTTTCAATATTATCATAATAGGTTTTTTTTTTTACCATGCGGAAGCATTCAAACGTGGGCAAGAAGAGCTTTCACTTATATTTTTCCTATAGTTCTCTTGCCTGAAGGAATGAATTGCCTGTGTCTTGGATTAATCCCAACGTAGGCATCGAGATACTTGGGCGCGCTGAACCGAATGTTAATACTACTATGTACTTTATAGTTTTTGGCAACTAACGGCATTATCAAACTAAATCTACACTTATTTCGGTAAACCTCTGTTGTATGTGCACAATGTTAAGCTTCGGGGAGCTCTCTCGGTGCTCTGACCCTGTAACTATGCAAGATAAGCCATAAAGTATGTGCAACCTAATGAGCTATCAAAAATTATTCACTCTGCTTGTTGACACTTGGGTATATGTTAGTTTGGAGGCACAGTAATACCTCAGCCCAAACGAATAGGAATCGCAAGATTCCGGTAGCAAATCGCGTCCATTATTAAATGCTAAAAAGAGCAGCTTTAGAATTAGAAACTATCTCTTCATTTTTATCATGGGAGTGTGAACAACTGTTGTAAATCATTTTTTTCGCGCTTCCTTTGTTACCTAGCCTGCTGCGTTACGTAACACCTCACAGTTTACTCCTAAACTACGCTAGCAGAAATCAAAGTCGTACTTTTGCATCATTTCTTGTTTTCACGTCTATAGGGGTGTACTAGACGTCATGAAATGTCCGCGAACTATTGTAACAATATTAGCATTTACGAATAGCAACTATTTGATTCTAACACGTAAGTGGACAGGGCATTGTTCATATTGGTATTCGACATTTTGGAATATTAGATCCTCACTTATTGCTCGATGCTTGTGTCTTCGGCGCAGGCAACGGAGAATGTGCGACGGGACACCGAGATTCCGCTGTCGCGCGTCGCCGATATGGTGGATTCGCTGGACGCCCAGACTCGTAAGCTCCCGGACCTGAGGGCCGAGCTGGCCGAGTCCGCTGCCGCCGCGAGGGTGCTCGAGTTGCGCGTCTTCACCGAAGACGCCTACGAGCCCCTGCGAGCCGCGGCCTCCCAGGCGTCTCGAGCGGCAGCTGACCTCGAGAAGCGTATGCCACCCATGCTGCAGAAGGTGGCCGAGACGGCCAATGGGCTTCGAGCAGCCATCGGAGATCTACGGGGCGCCATCGAGAACGCGACGACGACTGTGGCGCCGAACGACTCCTACTACTGTCGCTCTCAGCGAAGAAGACGACTTTTGGAAACGCTAGTGCTGTGGATACACCCATAATAAAAGGCTGTGCCCTCGCCCTGAGAAGTCGTATACGGTCGACGAGTATCGTGTCTGTTCAACGCGTGACATTTCGACGTTGTCTGTAGGCAGCAAATATAAATGGGCACGAAGGTTTCATCTCCAAATAACTGCCAAAGATCTCAGTTTCTTACGTGAGATGGTGAAGCCGACTAGACAACATGTCGAGAAAAACCCGAAGCAGGTCTTACTGAGAGCACGGTGTAGTTCCTCACTTTTCACTCTTCACCATTTTTTTACATTAAACCATCTATCAAAGATCTTTCAAGCTTAAAAAGCCGTGCTTATGCACTTATAAAAAGTGCTGTAATATATCAAAAGAATTTTATTAAGTTGCGCGCGGAGTGAAAACGGAATGTGCGCGAAGAAATCCAAGCCCCTTCATTTCGCCCCATGAATGTTTTTATTATTAAATCGCGAACCGCAGTGAAGCCAGTGTTTTTTGGTTTTTCTTTTTTCAGGCTGAATGTACCATTCAGCCTATGGGTCTCGCGCTGGCGTGAGATATTGGCGTCGCCATTCATGTGCTTGTAAATATAGCGTTACGCATACGCCACTGTTAATTGGGAATACGTATTTCCTTAGATGGCGCGTAGTCGCTCATATTTTATTCTACGCATCTGCTGACTAATCATCTGTTCATAGGCATGCTGCTATGGTATACCCACCTCTGAGTTCCGTGGTCTAATACCACGTATTTGATGGTGTTTAATGAATGTGTTGTGAATGTGCTACAATAAAGATTACGTTTTTTATCACTCATGTCACCGTACCTTGACTGCTGTTTTTCAATCACGCTTCACTGTGGGGTACAACTGCCGGGTTGTAAATCAACCAGTCTTGTGTTTTCTTCAAATAGAAACGTACTCTCGACCTCTGGTTGTATCCAATGAATGTGCGCTCTTTGTGGCATTGTAAAGCATTTGTGGCCAACTACATATTCATGATGAAATCGAGAAAACACCCGACGTGGAATGAACATTATCACTTAACGAGTGAACAGCAGATGAATTTCCGTTAATGTTTGTATATGCTCTGCGAACAGAGTTGTTGTAAAGAGAGGTAGCTTATGCTAGCTGCCCATTAGGAAGGGAGATAACCAAAAAAGCTTAAACCGTGAATATACCATATCACGTTTGTGGTTTGACCTTCAAATTCGAATCAGAATAGCAACCAGGGTAACAACAACAAACAATCTGCCTCACTAGTTACGGCATCAGTGCATTAGTGCCGGCTCGTGCATCATAATGAACGACAATTAGTGTAGGAGCTTGAGAGGAACAACAAAACTAAAAGGATGCTACTTTCGTTTAGTTGCTTCCTATGTTTATTGTTCATCCTTAATTTAGACATACTAGTCAATAAGATAAAGGAGAGGACGCCACAGGACATATAGATGTAAGAATTATACTAATAAAGCCCAGGTATCGTAGCTTGGCCTCCGTAGCGCCTGCATGGGCTGGTCCCGGAAACACTGCAAATCCATGCGTGGTACACAGAGGTTTCAATGCCTCTGGTCTCAGAGGCAATGCGAACATGCTTAGTGTGTCGCAAGCTTTTATGAAGGATAAATTTCATCGAAACAGAGAAGAAGGCTTTCGCGTTAGGCAAGTGCATAAAGAAACGTAGGACTTTCACTTTTGAAACTATAGGGGAAAATATTTCTGAAGAACACGGTGGGCAAACTATTAGCTGCCCGAGGCCTCTGTACTGCGCGATGTCATTGCACGTTATACACCAGATGATCAAAATTTCCACAGCCATCTGCAGCAGTGTCTCTCTTAATCACATCGTCGTTTGGAGACATGAAATCACATTATTATTATTATTATTATTATTATTATTATTATTATTATTATTATTATTATTATTATTATTATTATTATTATTATTATTATTATTATCAGCTTATGGTGAAATGTAAAGACATGGAAAAATAATTGATAATTATGTGGGGTTTACCATCCCAAAATCACCATATCATTGTGAGAGACGCCGTAGAGGAGAGTTCCGGAAATTTCGACCATCTGGGAATTTTTAGCATGCACCCGAATCTGAGCTCGTGGGCTTACAGCACTTTCGCCTCCATTGAAAATGCAGCCGCCGCACGCAGCCGGCATTCAATCCCGCGTCCTGCGGGTCAGCAGCCGAGTACTTCACCCGTTAGACCACCGTGGTGAGGCCATGAAAAAATGAGCTAATATAAAACGTTCCTATTACTCAGGTGGGCTTCTGTGCCATTCATCCTCATATTCGTAATTTAACCAGTGTTTGTTGTGGTCATAATATATTGAGAACACAAAAAATATGTAAAAATGACTGAATTCCAGTACGGTGCGCTTGCTCTGCGCTCATTTGCGACCGACAAAAAAAAAGCGCCAAAGCACTGGAAGAGCAAGCGAAGAAACAGGTAGGACCGGCGCTGACTAACAACTGAAAGCTTTATTGCTTCGATGTACCATAAAAGGAAACAGGCGGGAAACCAACAACACGTGCAACATCGAGCCTTAGACACCAGTTATGAACAAAATAGACTATCCAATAGTTCTTCGAATAGGTTGTACAATTGGTGTGGTTGATGGGAGATAAATTACCTTGGTTTTTCGCTTAGCGTTTGAAAAGAGCGCTCTCATGGTGATAGCAAACTGTCTGGGCTATCAGAGGACTCTACGTGCTGGTACCCCCATCGACAAATTTTAACCTGCACAAGAAAGAAGCGCACTGTTTAGAAGTTAAACGAGTGCTTAGCTGTTTATTTTTTTTTTCATAAATTACACAACATATATGCACCAGCAGCTTTCTATGAGCACCTGTAGTAAGAGCCAATAAATATTAGCCCCGAGGATGAGCACTGACGGCGCGGACGGTCGGGGCGAAGTGACGTTACCGCAAGGACTAACTTGCTCCGCGGCCGAGTATCACCTTTTTCGGGGCCCGCCGTGTGCCCGCTCTTACTCTTTGTGGTGGTGATAAGTGCTTATTGTTGCGATGCAACTACAGTGTCTAGAAATATACTGCCTAGTGTGCTGAGCACCCGCATTCCGTACGAGAGAGGGTGGCCCCAAATGTGATGACTGCACTCATATGCCACAAGCGGCGGTGCGTGTCGAGAGGGTGCATGAACGCGCGATTTTCTTCTCATCCTGTTGCTGCCGGTGCCTCGCCAAGTTTAAAATCAGTGTGTGACAGCTGCCATCTGATTTACTGTGAAGTTCGACGGCGCCATATGTACACTACAACACCCTGAGATGTTAAAAGCTAAGCGGCAATGCAAAGAAAGGACGTGTATTGTGCCGCTGTGTCAAAGAAGTTATCGGTCAAACAAGGAAAAGTTGTCTTGTTCCCCGCACTAAAGGATCCAGCTCGGTTTTATGAATGAAAAGGTAGGATCAAGAGGGCAGACAGAAGGCCGAACGATACCTTCGTTGAGAAAATCGATGTCGCGTGAGAAAATCATTCTGAGAGTGACTCCACCGAACTATCTTTTCGGATTATAAGGGGAAACGGTGTCGGGAACGCAATCGCCGTATAGGCATAATTTCAAATATCAGTATTTATCTCAAAAATTGAAAATACCTTTTCAAATTTCATTCACACACTTTTTCCTCCCTTTTAACGTAGGACTCTCTTTCCAACAACGTATCGAGTACTTTATTATATGCGGCACCATGGCATCATATCGAGAACCATGGCTACTAGACCACCTAGGTAGGCGCATGCAAAAACGTGATACAGCGAAACCTAAATTTAAACGAATTCAACTATCATGTCATTGTAGCTACGTCATGACTCAACGAACTTCCTGTCTAAAACCGAGAAGGTTTTTTTTATTTTATTTTCTTACGTAGAAAAGGGGGATGCACTTTAAGGGACTACATTCGGCCGAAATATTCGCAATTTGGCTCCGTAGCGTTCCCTTCACAGCCCAGAAAAGATGTCTGCACGTGTACAGCGTAAAGATATCTGACATGTTTCCATATTGCTTATGCTCCGAAGCAGCTGATACTGATGCTACATAATGCTCCGAACCTTCCTACATGCAACCTAGTCAGCGCATTCTGTGGTTGGTGCTAGCATGTTTGTGTGTCTCGCCACTCGCCCTGGATCACTCGCCACTACAGCCATCTAAACAAGAAAAAAAAACCAATTCTGGTAAGCGAATCTCTCTCCTCCTTGTCATTTGATACACGTTTCGCTTTGCAAAGAAATTTTTTTGTTATGTGCACCACTGAGTTTTGCGACTAGCCTGCTTCGCGTAGCGTTGACGGTGCAACAACATCCGCGACGCCTGGCATCATGTTCTTCTAAAAAAGGTGTCCGTCGGGTGAAAGTGGATGAACAGGCATGCAGCATGATTCAGATGGAAAAACAGCACACATGCTTTCCGAGTGCCGTCCGGCACCACGCTATCAGATAGCAATGACACGTCGTTTGGCTACAGCTAACGTGACATGTATTGCAAACATTTCCTCGGGAAAATTGCATCAGTTGCTACTTTTAAGAGGCGTTCTGTGAGAATTCCCGTACTTCTAGTAAACATACCTGGCCATGAAAACATTACAAAAATATAATGACTGTAGCAGAATAAGATTTAACTATACAAGTCTGTTTCGGCATCGTTAATACCTGCTTACCTTAGCGGTTTAATGGCAGAATGTGGCCGTGAGGCAGCAGGTCGTCGCCAACGTTCACAAATCGCATTCTGTCAGGTTTATAAGTTTACGCAATGTCAGTGAGATCGCGGCCGTCGGAGTGCCATGACAAGAGAAACAAAATAGGATATGCAGGATGACTTGGATTGTACTTCTGCTCAAATCAGCCGAGTGTAGAACAAAAGTAAAGAATCTCAAGAAATAGTCACAAGACAAAAGTGGGCAGCTAAAACGCACACATGTCAACGTTCTAAGGGACACTATATAGAGACGAGAACGAGCTCTCTAGAATCGGTTTCTCATTCTTTCGCAATACCAAAACCACCACGCTTCCGATGACAAGAGGTTTGATAAGCGAGAAAACGCGCAAAAACAAAATTCGGGTGGCAACCACGTGGATACAGATAGTCCCGCCCCACACGCCGTGACGTCATAGATGTTGACAGCGTATATGCTTGGGCCTATTTGATTCTTAATCGCTCAGTGTTAAATACAATATTCTCTATGAAGTAGGAGAGCTAACATACCTAAATATACACAAGACAAGCGTACGTGAACTAACTATCGCAGTTGTTGTGCCTTTGTGTTAAGCAACTCGACGGTATAGAACCCGGCTGTATTAAATACTTTTTTTTGAAAGGACACTAT